CTGTATTCTAATTACCACCTGTTTAAGCAGTAACTGTAACAGTTACTCATATTCTGTGTGTTTAAACGTGATGCTGGTACATGTATCCTCCCCAACACTGGCAGTAAAGACCGTTCTTGGAACAAAGTGATTTTAAGGCTGAAGCTTGTATGTAATTTAAGCTCCTCCTCCTTCGCTCACCCTGTTGATGAGCTCCCCCACCATGCCGGTCCAGCTGCCGTTGGGCTCTGGCGCTCCGTACAGCCCGTCGTCCACCAGCTTAATCTTAAAGGAGAACTTCAGGATGTCCGCCAGCTCCCGCAGCATGTCCACGCAGAAGCCCTCATACTGATCGTTGCCCTGGTACTCCTGGTAGTTGGACTTGCGCATCACGTAAGGGTTTTCCTGTCAGAGAGGAAGAGGCGGCTCAGAGCAGCAGGTCCACCAACCACAGACGTCACAATCAGATATGAAAGGCTCACCAGTATTGTGGTGACGACGAGCGACTTGTTGGCCAGCGTCTCTGATGCGTTGAGGTCGAGGGAGGTGGAGTTCATGGCCAGCGTGTTGTTGGAGTACCAAACGCCAATCTAAAGGGGGGGCGACAGAGGAGCAGAAACAAAGAGACTGAGGACGGGAGGAGAAGTGTTTCTAAGGTGATAACGTGATTTTTCTGTCAGGGTCAAAGTTCAACCAGAAAAAGGCCGACGCTCTTCCAAAGACTGGGCCTCCATTAGTCTGATGACATCACCAGCGTGTCTGTCTGCTTTTAGGCTTTTTTCTTTCTATCGAGTCAGGAGATGTTGCATAAGCACTGTAGGTTAAAGGTCACAGGCCGTGTGACAGTTAACGTTACAGAATTCACTGCTCCAGTTTCCATTTGTTCAAGCCTGCAGACGACTTTTCTCTTACAGTCGGCTCGACTTTGAAAACAAATGAATCACGACACACGGATTAGTCGATGGCGTGTTGGCGGTCGAACACTGTCAGAGACAAACCTGCGACACACATCTGTTGCGTCTCCATAACAGACGAGTTAGATGACGAAGACGACCCAGAGAGGAAGGATTAAAAACCAGTTTGGGATCATAAAACACGAGGAGGAGCTGAACACTGCTGCTGCAGGATCAATGCTGCGATCAATAGAGGAGGATCTGGCTCCTCCCACCTCGTCCTCTGGGTTAAATACGCTTGTAAACACCTACACGCTGACCTCACGCCAATCCTATCCCATCTCCCAAACCCCCGACCTTAGCCGACCTCTCGCCCGCTGCTGTGCATGTTTTAGCTGTGAGGAGACGAGCTGTCACCCACAGGACCGGCTGATGGAGAGCGGGCACCACTCCCGTCTCCACCCGCACGCCTCCGTCCTCTCGGCTTAGCATGTCTCATCCATCTTACTGCCGTTTCTGTGCCTTTGCTTTGTTTACCCCTGAAAAACATTTGCTCGGGTCATCACGCAGGATTTCCACCATGACATTAATACTAAAGAGCCGCAGCGTTTCATTGCAACGCTGCTCCTGCTGCAAACACACCTGTCCTGGCCGAGTCTGGGAAGCCCACCTGGATGAGGCTGCTTTGATACCTGAAGCTACACAAGTGTAAGGTTGCATTAAAGGGGAAGTGTGCTCACATCACTGAATATTCAAACTGTTGCAGTGAAACAGCGAGGAGAAGTAATCCGTGTAAGCAGCGGCTCAGGCTTCAGACAGCTTTAAACTCTGATCTGCAGGAACGGGGAAATCCTCGATCCTGTTAAGTCTGACATCGACATCCATTTCTGGCTCCTTGGGTTCCACAAACAAACACACCCCGAGGCTCAGCTGATAGTTAGAGCTTCTCAGTGCTTCAGTGGTCCTCGTGCACCTCAGGTGTCTTTCAGGTGTTTCGAGCTGCTTTCCTTCCTTTGGACCTCACTGCTGCCTGGTGACCTCCTGGTGACCTCCTGGTGACCTCCTGGTGACCTCCTGGACCGCATTCTTAAAGTTACAGTGAAAAGCTAAAAACAAACACAGACTCTCGAATTACAGCTGAAAGTCTGACAAAACTACAAACGTGTGTGTCCAGCTGATTATGGACCAAACTGTGTCAAAGAATAACTTGTTTCATGATTAAACTACAAATATGGATAATGTCCAGCCCGCTGCCTTCTTTTAATGACTACAACAGCAGCTCAGTGCTGAGGTGACTGTGTGAATCGGCTCCTGAAAATGTGAAGCAAACTTAAATGGATTTGACTAGAATCCATGAATCTGGACCTCAGTAGACGCCACAGGTCAGAGTTATTGAGAGCAGCAGATCTATCAGGATGAAAATCGATTTGGATTCGATGCAGGAAGCAGAGCAGCCTGAAGCAACGACCTTATCGAAGGAGCGGCTCATCCTGCGGGGAGCACGAGCGCGCTCTTGTGTTTGAGCTGCAGCGTAAATCTTGTTGCTTCTCACGGGAAGCTTCACCCCTGGCACACGAGCCTACCTGACCCCGGGCTGACCTCCATTGATCTGCAACCTTTTAATATATGCATGAGGTCGTAAATGCGCGCCGAGCCTTCAAAATAAAATTGGTTTGCGTTGATTTTATCGACGAATGAGAGAAGGGTTTACTGCGGAGCAGACCGCGCATCCTGCACGACTTTTAAGGTCACGGCGTAGAACATGCACGCTCATCCACCCGCCTGATCTAAAGGCACAAATTTACATCTCTGCGGCTGAATGATGACCTAATCTCTTTCCTGTCAGCCCCACTTGACCCTATTTGACCTCTGACCTCTTTATGGCCTGCAGGGTGTTTCTCCAGGATCTTCAGGGTGTAATTGGTTCTCTGGCCTTTGCTGTTGAACTCGATGTGACCCGTCAGACCGTCGTACTCCACCTGATGACACCAAACACCAAAGAGCAGGTTAGCAGGTTAGCTAGGTGCAAAGCTAACTGAACGCTGTGCTATGTTAAAGTAATAATAAGATAATATCAGCAGATGGAACACAAACTTTTAATTCTACTCAGCTTCAATCTGAAGAATAAGAAGGAAAATAAAAACATCTATTTCCTGATTGATAACGACATCAGCTCCAGTGACATCACCCACTGATGTCACCATCTTTGTGACGGGCACCTAAGGTGGTCATGTGTCATCATGAGGTAACACGCCCTGAGGCAGGGCGGCTAATTTAAGTTTAAAGAGATGAAATTACTATTGAGTTCAGCTCATCGGTGCGGTTTCTCCTGGCGGGAAAATTAACCACGCCCCCCACCCTGAAGCACGACCTGCTTTATCATCTGTTTGAGTGAAAGAGGACCTTAATGTCCGCACACAGTAAGACCTCAAACTAGCAAACGAGCTCGTTGACTCATTAGGACGGCGCTTATGGAGGCCATAAATCAGTGAGCCGTACACTTCTTTTTACAGCCAGAGTCGCCTCCTGCTGCTCAAGCGGCACTTCCACATCAGCTTTACTATTCAAACCCAAAGGCTACAGTCATCTTTTATATACAGTCTTTGCATGGAGTGACCATCCTGTCAGTGCTAACCTGAGGGTGAGAGAGCTTCACACCCTGGACTCTCTCTCCAGTAAACTGTTAGCCGGTTTAGCTGCACAGACTTGTTAGCAGCTAGCTCACCAGTCGTGATGACTCTCAGCATCTTTATACGGAACAACAGACTGATAAACGTTGGCGTTCCTGTTAAGGATGCAGAATATCTGGGAAAGATGTTTACAGCAGCTCAATGTGAAGCTTTATTACAAGCTGTACTTTAATCTGGCACACACACACACACACACACACACACGCGCTTTCATATCTTTGTGGGACATCTCATTGACATAATGCTTTCCCAAGCTGCTAACCTTAACCATCAATGAACCCTGAGCCTAACCATCACCATAACCTAAATGTAACCCTGACACTAACCCTGACGCCTTTAAGCTCCTGGGAACTGGGATCTAGGTCCCCACAAAGA